CCCTGTCCCTGTCATCCCAGGGCATTTCCCAGGGGTGTCCCTGTCCCTGTCACCCCAAGGCATTTCCTAGGGGTGTCCCTGTCCCTCTCACATCAGGCCATTCCCCAGGGGTGTCCCTGTCCCTGTCACCCCAGGCCATTCCCCAGGGGGTCTCCATCATTTTCACCCAGGAAATGCCTGGGGGGTCTCTGTCCCTCTCACCCCTGTGCCAGGGGGTGCTCGGGGCAGTCTCTGTCCCTCTCAGCCCAGGGGATGCTCGGGGGTCTCTGTCCCCTCACCCTAGGGGATGCTCAGGGGGGTCTCCATCCCTCTGGCCTCAGGGAATGCCTGTGCAGGGCTGGTGACCAGGGGCTCTGTGTCCCTCTCACCGCTGAGGGTGCTCAGGGCTGGGAGGGCTCTCCGACCTTCTCACACCTGGGGAGGCCGGAGGGGTCTCTGTCCCTCTCAGCCCTGCTCTGACCCCACCCAAACATCATCGAGGTCAGAGGGACAGAGACACCCCCAAACCCCCAGAAGGGCTGAACCTGGGATTTGGTTTGGGGCTGAGGATTTAGGAAGGGGCTGGAATTGGGGCTGGGTTGGAGTTGGGGCTGAGATTTGGATTAGAACTTGGATGGGGGTTAAGGCTAGACATGAGATTGGCTTTAGGGCTGGGGTTGGGATAGATGAGTTTGGGACTGGGATGAGAATAAATACAGAACTGTGAGTGTGTGCAAACATGGAGTGAGACTGAGACAAGGATCAGGGTCAGGTTTGGGACCGAGCTCACCCAGAGCGGGACAGCGGGGATGTCACGGTGGGAACGTTTGGGGAAAATCCTGGTTTGGAGAAAAACTAGGTGTGAATGCCTTGGGTTGCGGACTCCTCCAACCCATGTCCATTTCTAGAAGTCACCTGATGTCCAAAAATCAAGAGTGAATAAAAAAAAGCCACCAGGAGTTTCCCATTTCCAGTCTCTTCCCTCTTGGGTTATGGTTGGTCCCCCATCTCAGGGCACGTGGGGATTCCATCGGTCCTAGAGATCCCTCTTCTCCAGGATCCTGCTTTTGGATTCTGGGAGGTTCGGGGGTCCCAAGGCCCCCCTCTCCAGCTTCCCCTAAATCCAGCAACTTGAGGTTCCCCCTTCTTTCCACCACCCTGTCCTGGTTAAGGGCAAATTTGGTTGAAACATTCCAAAAGGAGTTTCCTCTAGAATGCCGATTCAGCAGCCCCACCCTCAGCCAATCCGGGAAAATATTTCCAGGGAGAAAAGTCCAAAAAAACTTTATTTTACAGGCAAAGCATTCACCAGCACAAAATTTGAACAATATTAAGCAATAAAACCTCCTGCTGCTCCAAAATAGATGACAAACTCCGAAAGTCCCTCCTTTGGTTGTAGCTCCAGGCACTCAGCGTCTTATCAGTGCCTTATCAGTGGCTTATCAGTCTCTTATCAGTCTATTATCAGTCTCTTATCAGTCCATCCAGCGCTAGAAGTGGCTCGGCCCAGGCCAGTCCCGGTAGGCCTCAGGTGGGAGCTGCTGGTGGTATTCTGGTTTTTCAGTCCAGAGCAGGTTTAAACAGCTCCAAAGAAAAAGAAAAATCAAAGTCCAGNTCCCTGCCAAAGAAGGCAGATCCCAGTGCCCACACAACTCCACCCTGGCCATGAGGTCCCAGCAGGCTCGGAGGTCACAGAGATGCCAGAGCCCCATGGTTGCACAGCAGCACAAGGAGGGAGCAGTCAGTGCTTGGGCACAACTGTTGCGGCAGCAGCAGCGGCGGTGGCAGCAGTGGTGCTGACATTGGGACAGCGGCATCAGGACAGCAGTGGCAGCAAGCGCTGCGGGACTGGCAGAGGGCAAGGGTTGGAGTGATGAAGGTGATTCTGTCCAAGTAGTGATGCTGTAGAAGGGTCTGGTCTTCCTCTGAAGGTCCAGTGGTGGTTATGGAGCTCATGTCCTCTGGGAATCCAGTAGGCAAGCTGCTCCTGGTTGTAGCATATCTCAGCTTATATCCAGGCAGGAATGCTTGGATCCTCCCCCTGGGTGGAGCATCCCACAATGGGATGATGGAATTTTATCAGTCCTGCAGTGACACTCAATGGCCCACTAGGAGAAGATATCTCCCCTGGAGGGCGTTATCAGGGCTGAGTCATGGAAGAGATAAAGAACCCTGCCCCACCTGTTTCTAACTGTTTATGGAGATGGGGATTGAAAACATGCATTTGGTTACATCCCTCATGGCAACCTGAAACAGTGGGGTAATCCCTGCTCAGGGGGTGAACACCACCCCCCTTACCCAAACTGGATCAGGTGTAAAACCCCCACCCTCGGAAGGCCACACACACAGGGTACAATGTCACACTTGCTCTTCTCCAGGGGAGGTCTCTCTCCCTGTCACTCATCTTTTCTCTTTCTTTCCATCTCTCTCTCTACCTCGGATTTACTGTTCAATAAAATCCATTTTGAATTTGGTCTAGTTAGCACCTTAATTGGGGCAGAGGCATCTCTCTGACAATTTTCCTAACCATATTGCCATATTATTTTGGCGCAGTGAGTTCAGGGCACTGTTCTCTGACCCCAAGTGCCTTTGANTGGCACAAATCTGTCCTGTAAAATCTGCATCAATGAGCCCCAGGTGCACAATGAGCCCTGAAAGGTGGCACTGGACCTCCCCATAAGGAGAGCACTCATGCCCCCACCCAAGGGACCAAAGGCATCTAGGGGAACCTTGCGTATCTCAGACGAGTCTAAGACGACTGTTGCTGCGGTGCAGACGTCCACACCTGCTGATCCGCAGGTGCTGGCTGCAAGCCGGCAAAGGAGACCTCCATTGGTACCTGGGTCTGGAGGGAAGCTTGTGTCTGAGCGCGCCCCTCCTGCTGCGCGCTCCGCTTCACGTTTCCCGAACCCGGTAAAGCCTGGCCATTAGCATGAAAAGTCGCCTTACAAACGTTAGACATGTGATTCGGCCTACCACACTGACCGCACAAGAACATGGGGAATTTGACCTTCTGCACCTTCTTCCCCCGCTTCCTGCTAGACTGCGCATTCCCCTGCTGTGGCCGCCCACCCTGCGGTGCTGCCCAGACCGGCTGCACAGCGGCAGCCACAGCGGCCAACTTCCAACGTGAGGGAATGATGTTTGCACAGGCTTCTGCCATCACCCAGACACTAGGATCACCAGGCATAGCCACTATAACCTTATTACAGGCTTCATTACAATTGCACTTGACAAGGTTTGCAATCGTAACTTCCCTCTCCAGAGGATCAGGCACCTGCCTCTCCACGGACGCAATCAACCTTCCCAGAAATACCATAAAAGGCTCATCATCCCCCTGGAAAACGGTTGAAAACGGCTGCTTCGGAGCAGCCATTTCCAGGGTCTGCACAATCGCCCCTATGCCCAGTGTTTTGCATTGCTGAAGCACAAGGGGATAGTATCCAACCTGCCCCTGAACATCCTCATAACGCTCTGTCCCCATCAGCATGTCAACAACAACCCTACGCCTGGGGTGCGCCAGCGCAGCATTCCGCCTCACCGCTTGGGCCGCCAGACGAGACCACTTGGTCTCAAAAACACCAAATTGCACAGGGTCAAAAAGAGAATGTGCTACACAACGGACATCGTGAGGTGTCAGCGTGTCCCCCTAGCAAGTCTCCGAAGAATGTGCATAACCTCAGCAGACCCCAAACCATGCTGAGCAACTGCTTCACGGAGCTCCTTCTCCAGCTTATATGCAAGGGGTTCATAGGTGTTATGAGTGACGCCCCTGAGCACAGGGAAAGCCTGGGGACGCCCTGGCAAAGCCACCGCACCTGCTGTGTCCCGACCCTTGGGCCCCCCAGAGACAAGAGGGAGGGATTGAATGGAACCGGGGCAACACCACTCGTTCCTGCGCCCCCTGCAGCACCGGCAGAGCCAAAGGAATTCGCCCCCCGACCCTGCAGATGCCGGGAGGAGACAAGGTCATTCATCTCGTCAGTCACGGTTTTCGCCTCTGGCCAGAAACGTTCAGGGTACCTCGGACGCACGGTCACCCGGCACGCAGGAAGAGTCCAAAGACCTGACAAGAAAGCGCCT